AAATTTCCCCCCCACACTAAACAGATAATGGCTTGTTCCCATTAACCTGCCATAATATTATCCAACCTGCTGACTATGTCACCAATACCAGCTCCAGGAAGGCACACTCTCTGTCTGACCTTTCTGTCTCTGTTACAAAATGCACGGTCCATATATCTTACCTGAGAATCTCCTACTATTAAAATATTCTTACCTTGATTAGGAGGGGAATCAGTGGTACCTTCAACCTCACTAACCACTGAAGTACACTCGTCTTGGAGAACAGAGAATCGATTTCCTAACTTCACATCTTCTCTATTAACTCTCCTCATCTTCCTTCTTCCTGAACTGTGAACCACTTGCCATTTAAAGCGGCTGCCACTATCACTGCTGGTGACCATTTCCTCCTTACCAGCTAAATCCTTCTCACACTCACTCCCAAACTCATCTATGCGAAGCTTCAGCCTTCTGTTTTCCTCCTGAAGAAGTAGAATCTCCTTTTTCAACACTTGAACCTGAGATTCTAAAACACTACAACAAGCCATGGTGCTTGGTAACAGCCCGCGCTAACTCCCAAGAGCTTAGGCAGGTATGACCACACGTGACCACTGACCGAACACAGGTGCTTTTGCAGCAGGGCGTCAGATGATCAATTTAGGCTGCATAGTCTCGTCTGTCATACGTCGGAAGGGAATAATACCATTCACCAAGTGGCCAGGAATATCATCGAGTGAAGTCTCACCACAGCCAGTTACCCACTAGAACAGGATTCTCAGGTACTGAGGCTTGGTGAAAGTCAACAGCGTCCAGATGGAGTCACCAGGCTACCCTAGAAAGACGGTAAGCAGATTGCATGGAACTACATCTGTACGTCATCAGTAAATTTTTCACCAAAGCCGCTTTCTTAATGGATTGAATTGCATTATAATACATGAACAAAATTATACACAGTTGCGCGATATCACGACTCTAACTTTCACCTACTTCACTCAGGCTAGTGAACTGCTTTGAGTGAAAAGAAAAATAATGTTTAAGCAGTATTATTATATATTAATTAACACTTCAACGGTGTTACATGATAGTCCAGTAATTTTTTCGGTAGTTATTTTGTTAAACGCTATGAAGAAGTTATAATCTTAATCAAGAACAACACACGAATGATTAATTCTCCGAAAGCTTTTTATGATTACCTGGAGTTTACCTGGAGAGAGTTCCGGGGGTCAACGCCCCCGCGGCCCGGTCTGTGACCAGGCTAAATTTTTTTTTTATGCATCAAAAGGATTAAAACAGATTTTATCTCGTTAAAGTGACGGTCTTATACCTAAAAAAAAATCTAGATTCAGCACGTCTTCATACTTTCTAAAATAAAATAATTTTTAATTTACGTCAGCATGTAATTTAAACTAATTTTTAGTTGCTACACCAAACGCAGCAAAATTTTTGCAACACTTGACAGGAGTAAATTTCATTTAATTTCATTTAATATCACAGTGACATTCAACATGGAAATAATGTATATTCAAAAGGCATTTTTTTATTATAAAAACTCTTCAGTGACATGGAAATGAAATTTGAACATTGAAATTATGTTTCCTCCGTCACCAGAAGAGGAGCACTAATGACAACCGTGGAATTTTGAAACTGATTCGTAAATTGTTAATGAGATTTAAAAAAAAGTCAGCATACTTTTTCAAATAATTCTAAACTAGTGAGAATATGATTTTAAGAGCAGCAATGAAGACTCTTATAAACAACAAGAATTATCTAACGAATTTTTTCTTGTCTTCTGTAATATTTTCTCCACATGAGTTTGTGCCATCAAGATGAGTGAGTGTAAGGAGTACCTGGAACTGATCTAGCAACCTCAATTAAGGGAAACGACTACCAGGCGGACTAGGCCACACAGTACACAAAAACTAGCTTCCATACCAAGTCGTGTTCATAGATTTAGGTGTGTGAAGGCTCCGGCTGGTGTGTAAATAACATATAACATGACAACAGACTTCAAATGAGATTCCGTTGCTCATGGTAATGAAATAAAAAAATTAACAAAAAAACTGTGTAAGGAGTACCTGAGATGGATGCGCCGAGAGGGCTCTCAGGAGACTGCCATAACTAATAGAAAACAGGAAATACATTCTCACCACGAAGCAAACAAGCCCACAGGAAAGAGGGCCGGAATCTGTGAGATACAAATTAATCACTGAGTTGCGATGTGTTTATGTCGAAGAGATGAAGTTATGTCGACAGTGCCGAGGCAGACACTTCACCAAACCTACAACACAGGCAACCTTGGCTGTATTTTCTATGCTTAAGGAAGAAAGCCATTGAGTAAAGGAGAAAGGGAGAAAGAAACAGATGAAAAGAAAGATAGATATAGAAAGCTAGAAAGAGAGATCACAATAGAATACCCAGTGAACTCAATAGTGCAGTGAAGGGCCTCAGTGTTTCACTGTGCATTGTCAAAATCTCTATGGCAATAATGTTACAACAAGCACCACAGCCAGAACTTGAAAAAATTATTTGTGATTTAAGGCTGACTTTTGTACCGTGCTTAATTAAGGGAATCAGATATTTGCAGATATTTGCGTTGTTATTGGGCTGCATAAGTTCCAGTCTGACAGTTATTCAGCATTTCCATTTAATAAGTAAAGAATGATTTATCTTGTCGGCTTCGAAATATCAACACTAATGCATTCAGTATGAAGGATGACACAATATAAATTTAAATTATTTAGGAGTAAAATTTAAATTTTATTGAATTTGTTACAAACATAGTTGGATTCAGAGTAATTACTGAGGAATAACTTACCCTATAGACCATGGACTTTCAATGTTAATGAGCTATATTAAAAGAAAGTTTGCTTCACTTTGAACCATGTAAATTTAAGATTGTCAGTTTTGTTAAATAAATCATTTTCCAAGTATTAACTAGAGAACGCCTCTTCTGGTAGACTTTTAACACTCAAGCATTGGTGTATCTTAATTCGAAGCATCCTTACAGTCAGTGTGGACTTGGCACATGCTAGTTTTGCCAATTTACAGAACTATTTTATTAAATTATTCAGAAAATACCAAATCAAGATTATTTCCTAGAGGATTGTAGAATATTTCCAATAGATTACGAATACAAAATATTGAGAAAGACTGAAAACTCGCGTTTTTATTTCATCGTAAAATTTCGCTAGTTTGTTGAATGCTTAAATACTGCAGGACTTGATGCAAGAGCCGTAGTATTGTGAATTATAGTGTTTTCGAGTCATTCAGCTTCCACCAAGGAGTTCGTTAATGACTTCAGAACTTGTCTGATCTACTGTTACCAGATAAATGTTCCTAGAAAGCTTAACCAGTACAGGTACCCATTTTTAAATGGGCCGTTTTCCCATTTTTTTTTCCAAGAAATATCTTTATAGAGCTATAGTTTATCGCTAAGTTATGACTGTAATATTAATAATTTAGAGAACTGCTTCTGATTTGCGTCAGATTTTCATCAGCGATTTATCCCTCTTGGAAGAAGGTTGGTGTTATTAATGAAATGTACATGGGCCACTTTGCCACGTTTAATTTGCAAAATGTATAGTAACAGCTTGCAAAATATAACTGGATTGTGTTCCCTGAATTGGGGTCTCATAATGCTAGTTAGGGGTTGTTGATTAAAGAAACTGGACGTCGCCTCCCCTTCCTTGGATCAAACTTGAATGCCACCCACTGCACAGGTTCTTTTTGACCTCTACAGGTTTACCGTTTTCTCCTGATTAAGAT